TACATACATACCTCTAGTTTCTAGGTATGTATGTTTCCCCAGACATAAGGTATGTATGTTTCCCCAGATATACATACCTTGGACATACATACATACATACCTGGAGTTTCTAGGTATGTATGTTTCCCCAGACATGTTTCCCCAGACACACATACATACCTATAGTTTCTCGGTATGTATGTTTCCGCAGACATACATACATACCTATCATTTTCCAGGTATGTATGTTTCCCCAGATATACATACCTTTGACATACATACATACCTCTAGTTTCTAGGTATGTATGTTTCCCCAGACATACATACATACCTATCATTTTCCAGGTATGTATGTTTCCCCAGATATACATACCTTGGACATACATACATACCTGGAGTTTCTAGGTATGTATGTTTCCCCAGACATGTTTCCCCAGACATACATACATACCTATCATTTTCCAGGTCTGTATGTTTCCCCACATATACATACCTTTGACATACATACATACCTCTAGTTTCTAGGTATGTATGTTTCCCCAGACATACATACATACCTATCATTTTCCAGGTATGTATGTTTCCCCAGATATACATACCTTGGACATACATACATACCTGGAGTTTCTAGGTATGTATGTTTCCCCAGACATACATACATACCTATAATTTTCTAGGTATGTATGTGTCCCCAGACACACACCCAGACATACATACATACCTATAGTTTTCTAGGTATGTATGTTTCCGCAGACATACATACATACCTCTCATTTTCCAGGTATGTATGTTTCCCCAGATATACATACCTTTGACATACATACATACCTCTAGTTTCTAGGTATGTATGTTTCCCCAGACATACATACCTATCATTTTCCAGGGAGGTATGTTTCCCCAGATATACATACCTTTGACATACATACATACCTCGAGTTTCTAGGTATGTATGTATGTTTCCCCAGACATACATACCTTTGACATACATACATACCTCTAGTTTCTAGGTATGTATGTTTCCCCAGACATACATACATACCCATAGTTTCTACGTATGTATGTTTCCCCGGACATACATTCATACATACCTATAGTTTTCTAGGTATGTATGTTTCCCCAGACAGACATACATACCTATCATCTTCCAGGTATGTATGTTTCCCCAGATATACATACCTTTGACATACATACATACCTCGAGTTTCTAGGTATGTATGTTTCCCCAGACATACATACATACCTATAATTTTCTAGGTATGTATGTTTCCCCAGACACACACCCAGACATACATACATACCCATAGTTTCTACGTATGTATGTTTCGACATACATACACACATACATACATACCTAGAGGGGGGGGGAGGCAGGGGTTGCCCATACATACCTATAGTTTTCTAGGTATGTTTATTTCCCCAGACATACATACCTATCATTTTCCAGGTATGTATGTTTCCCCAGATATACATACCTTTGACATACATACATACCTCTAGTTTCTAGGTATGTATGTTTCCCCAGACATACATACATACCTATAATTTTCTAGGTATGTATGTTTCCCCAGACACACACCCAGACATACATACATACCCATAGTTGCTACGTCTGTATGTTTCGACATACATACATACATACCTTGATAGGGGGGGAGCCAGGGGATACCTGCCAGATACTTACTAACCTCCGAAAACAAAGTATGTATGTTAGCCCAAACATACATACATACCTATTGTTTCCCCAGACATACATACATACCTATCATTTTCCAGGTATGTATGTTTCCCCAGATATACATACCTTTGACATAGATACATACCTCGAGTTTCTAGGTATGTATGTTTCCCCAGACATACATACATACCTATAATGTTCTAGGTATGTATGTTTCCCCAGACACACACCCAGACATACATACATACCCATGGTTTCTACGTATGTATGTTTCGACATACATACATACATACACACATACCTTCATAGGGGGGGAGCCACGGGATGCCTGCCAGATACTTACTAACCTCCGAAAACAAAGTATGTATGTTAGCCCAAGCATACATACATACCTATAATTTTCCAGGTATGTATGTTTCCCCAGATATACATACCTCTGACATACATGCCTACCTCTAGTTTCTACGTATGTATCTTTCCCCAGACATACATACATACCTCTAATTTTCTAGGTATGTATGTTTCCCCAGACACACACCCAGACATACATACATACCAATAGTTTTCTAGGTATGTATGTTTCCCGAGACATACATACATACATACATACCTTGATAGGGGGGGGGCCGCGCCCCAGGACCCAGACGTCAGTACCGCAACCCAGTACCCATACGTCAGACAGACGTCTGATTTTCTAGGTGTGTCTGTTTCGTCACGAACATTCAGCAGCGGCGACGGGTGTCTTCTCCGAGCGCACAAGTTTGCCCACATGCAACAATGCCAGCAGAGCACAGGCTGCCACCGTGCCATGCAACGTAAAGGCCTTCTTACCAACGGCCGCAGCAGCTTGGACGAGGGTGACCTTTGACATACATACATACCTCTAGTTTCTAGGTATGTATGTTTCCCCAGACATACATACATACCCATAGTTTCTACGTATGTATGTTTCCCCAGACATACATTCATACATACCTATAGTTTTCTAGGTATGTATATTTCCCCAGACATACATACATACCTATCATTTTCCAGGTATGTATGTTTCCCCAGATATACATACCTTTGACATACATACATACCTCGAGTTTCTAGGTATGTATGTTTCCCCAGACATACATACATACCTATAATTTTCTAGGTATGTATGTTTCCCCAGACACACACCCAGACATACATACATACCCATAGTTGCTACGTCTGTATGTTTCGACATACATACATACATACCTTGATAGGGGGGGAGCCAGGGGATACCTGCCAGATACTTACTAACCTCCGAAAACAAAGTATGTATGTTAGCCCAAACATACATACATACCTATTGTTTCCCCAGACATACATACATACCTATCATTTTCCAGGTATGTATGTTTCCCCAGATATACATACCTTTGACATACATACATACCTCGAGTTTCTAGGTATGTTTGTTTCCCCAGACATACATACATACCTATAATGTTCTAGGTATGTATGTTTCCCCAGACTCACACCCAGACATACATACATACCCATAGTTGCTACGTCTGTATGTTTCGACATACATACATACATACATACCTAGATGGGGGGGGGGAGGCAGGGGTTGCCTGCTAGATACTTACTAACCTCCGCAAACGAGGTATGTAGGAAACATACAGACCTGGAAAATGATAGGTATGTATGTATGTCTGGGGAAACAATAGGTATGTATGTATGTATGTATGTGTCCCCAGATATACATACCTTTGACATACATAAATACCACCTGCACTCTTTGGCCACATACACGTCTGTGTTGCACATGTACCCAGACATACATACATACCATACATACCTGTAATTTACTCGGTATGTATGTTTCCCCGGACATACATACATACATACCTACATACATACATACCCTGTATGTATGTATGTTTCCCCGGACATACATACATGATGGGTATGTACGACTCTTCTATGTCTCCGACAAACATACATACCCCTGCTTTTGAGGTATGTACGTTTGGACCATGCATACATACAGACATACCGCTTCTTTTCTAGGTATGTCTCTCTCCCCCAACCGACATACATACCATACATACCTCTAATTTTCTAGGTATGTATGTTTCCCCGGACATACATACAGACTAGGTAGGTCTGACTCTTCTATGTCTCCCAGAAACATACATACCCGTGCTCGTGGATTTGGTACATGTCGCTCCCCTCTGCGCCAGGAAGGCTATTTCACGGTTCGAACGGTGGGCCGTGGTGAAAAAGAGGTGGATGGCAAGAATCCCACGGTGGCGGCGCAGGCAGTGGCGTGAAGTTGGGAGGGCGGAAGCATATTAAGGGGTTGTTCTTGGCTTTGCTGACCCCCTTTTGAGACTGCACAGTGATGTACTGTAGTAGCTAGAATATAGAATTGAAACTGCGTGGAGGCTGCTTGCCTTCAAAGCAATTCCAACGTGTGGCGCGTGGTGAAATCCCAGCCAAAATCATCCAGTGAAACAGTTGTTGGCCAGATGCACACATGCACGCATACCCAGATCGGACAGAAACCCGTTGCACACCTCGCAGGTGCAGAGTGGCTCTGGGGGCGACCCGGGCTACAAATGCACCGCGCTGATGGCGGTCGAAAGCGCCTTATGCTGCGCGTTGCAGCGCTCTGCCTGCGCTGAGGGTGGTGTGCATACGCCCCTTGGGAGCGCAAGGGAACGTAGTAATGTGCTTTATGGCGGTACGCATGGGGTAAAGCAATGAGAACATATGCCTAGACATGCCTAGACTAGATGTTGATAGTAGAATGGCTGTGGCAATTTCAGGCACCCCTTTGGGTGTGTGAAGCAGTTGTAGCAGTGCTTCCTATATGTTGCATGATTCGGATCTTTTTTTTGGAGTACATGGCATTGAAGCAAGAGAAGAACACAAGACCAACAAGGTGCCACACACCTTCCAAAGGACGGCGGTTTTCAGGGCAGTGGATCGGTGACGACATGCAGTCTCGGTGTAACGACCGAGGCCGGCCAGCGGCTTGGGGCAAACCTTAGTGGATCGCCTGAACGACGCAGGGATGAAGCTCTTCGTCGAGCCGCGAACTGAGGTCCAGGACGTCCATTCTCTTTTTTCCCCACACGCCGTGTGGACACACAGGGGCAGGGGTTCTTACGGGTCCAGGAAGCTGATGCTTAGATATGCTTAGATCGTTGTTCTTCTTCTTCTTTTTTTTTGGGGGGGGATTATATAAGCAAATTTGAAGCAAACACATGCCCCATCGCGACATTGGTGTCTATTCGGCATTGCTTTGAAGAGGTTTGAAGGCAGAGGTCTTTGCAACCTTGGTGGGAGTCTTGGTGCCCAATGCTCATTGCAACGATGGCATGTGTGTCGATCTTAAAGCCTTCACAAAGACCGACCGTGCACTTGGTTGCGGAAGTAGGAGGTTGTTCTGGCCGAAGGGTAGAAGAAGATTGATTGACGAGCTGAACTATGCTGAACTCGAGCTGGTTGGAAAATGGAATTGATTGGCGCCAACACCTGAACTTGAGGAGGTGTTCGGATCACTATTAATTTGGCATCCAAGGCCATGAGCTGAACTAGCTGTCAGGCAAGGCGGAGGGTCGAAGTTCTTTGGCTTGCTCTTGCAAACTGGCAGGTTGACGCGATTCGGTCGTGCTTTTTGAAAAGCTTGCCTTCACAAAGTGTTGAAACTGTCGTTTCAGAATGTGAAATGTTCAAAGCAGCATGGCTTCAGCTTGACCTTGACACCCTTATGGATCCAAAGCTTGTGGCCAGTGAGATCGTCTTTGGTGGTCCATGTTGCGGGGCCAGGTGGGCTCCAATTTTCGCCTCGACAGAACGAGGCCCGACTGCATGCTCCACCCGCAGGGCATGCGCGGATCCCTCCAAACAGATCAGGATTGTCCGAGGATTGGTTGCCCTCAGAGAGTCCAACGGTTTAGGAATTGCAGACTTGAGGGTGAATTGTCAACTTGCTATTGCTTCAAAACCCCTCCAACTTAGCAAGTTGTGCCTGCAACTTGCAGGACTTCCTCGTGGCACCTGTTCAAAAGGTGGCCACCGCGCTACCACGACTTGTATATAAGTCCCCCTGGACGGAAGACCAATCCACTGACCGTTTTGGCACTAACATGGGGAGCCCCACTGTTGTGAAACTGAGTCATCAAAGTATGCACGACTCCTAGGTACTACCTACTTACGGCTGTTTTTCAAATTGGCTTCCCTTCTTTGGGGTTGTTCCGATGGCACTGTTTTTCCGGGTTTTGTTGCGACGTGGTTACCAAAACCCTCTAAATTTTAAGCATCTTTAAACACCTACCGAATGTGGAAAACTTAGGTGCTTGAGATATATAGTGGTTGCAGAGCAGATCATGGCAGAGGCACCCAGTTGATGAAGCTCCTTTTGCAAACGCAACGCCTCTCACAGCTGTCCGCCAGGCCCTTTGTTGTACAGTCCACTCCGCACCACAGCAGAGTGCGGGTGAAGCAGTGTGGAGCGGTTGGAGGTCAACAGGATGTGCTGATCCACTCATGCTTGACACAGCATCATTCGCAGCTAGGTCCATCATGGGAAGAAGTGATGGTATTCCAAAGTCTTTCTTTTCTGAAGCACTTCCTTCTGACAAGATATCCAAGCTGTGCCTCGTTTTGCTCAACACGACTTCTCGTGGAAAAAAGGCGCAGTGTGTGCCCATCGTCGCTTCATCGGAGACCAGCCATGGCTGGCTGCTCCTGGGCTCGTGGATGTCTCGCTGTCTTTCATGGTTGTCATCCTCAAACACGGAAGTATAATGAAGTATAGAACCAAATATATAGATCCATAGCAGACGAGCATCTCGTCCACTTCCACTTCCGCAGTGGGCGTGTCTTCCACATCGCAGAGGGTGTGGGAGTTGCAGAGTGGACTTGAGGGTTGGATTGAAGTGACTTAGTGACTTGAACTTGTCCAAATTGGCTGTGTGTAACTTGAGGCAAACACATGAGGCTTTTGCAGCTGGGCACGAGGAAGAGACAAGGAAAAGAACAGTCAGCAAACAGAGACGGCGAATATATGAGACCCAACAAGCAGGTTCTTCTTAGCGGCTGCTCAGCAACATCTTCCTCACGTTTGTTTCACACTTCTCAGATCCAGAAATTGAAAGAAGCAAGGCTCAACCGCAAGAATCAACTCAGCCAGACCCATCTGGTTCCTACTCGTGCTTCTTATGGTTTAACTTATCCGGCTTGCACGTAGCGCGGGGCCTAGAGACTTATAGCATCCTTATAGCTCTTGTACTGCACATCGCCATGCGATCGCCGCTGGCCATCGTGCTTCTGCTTGGCCTGGTCGCCGTCAGCTGTCCTGCGGCTCGACCCAGCTGTCCGTTGTGAGGGGCCGGGGCGGCGTTGCTTGTGGCTCTTGAAGGACCACCGGACCCGCTGGATGGATCCAAAGCAAGCCATCCCCAAGGTGTTGGGATGGTTCTTGGTGCCAGACTTGCCACATGTGTGGAGAAAAGCGCTTTTATGGACCATGGTCATTGGCATGGGATGTCATCAGTGATGTACTGACTTCAAAAATCAAGATCTTTGACCTACCGGCCTTTGGAAACAGTTCCCTGAAGTGCAGACTGCACCTTGGCCCCTTGACAGCCACCATTGTTGGTGGGCACAGATGGGAACTGATCCGTGAAAACCTTCAGGTTCGGGGCTGCTGCGAATCCCCCACCGGTGGATGCACAAATCGAGCCCCAGGCCTTCTGCGGACCAGCCCTGCGGCACTGGCAAGCAGGCCGTGTGAGCGGCATCGCGCGAGGTGCTTCTGAGGACTGCTTATTTGATAAAAACATGAAGCTTCATCACAACCAGTTGCAAAAACCGGGACAAATGGTGGAAAGAGAAGCCAATAATATAGTTCACCCCGACCCCCCGAGATCTAAGCCTTAGCAGTTCTGAACTCGTTTCATGGTTCAGTCAGATTTCCCTGCTCACTTTCCCCCAGCTGCTGAAAAAAATGCACTGCCGATTTCGAGCCGATGGAGTGCCGGCAGTGGAGGAAGACCCAGATGCCCCAGGGGTCCCTGCCTGGCGCACGGGCATTGCGGGGCGAAAGGGCGCCTTGGGCTTCCTGGGAGGTTTGCTGCTGGTGACTCGGAGGAGTATTCAGGTGAGGCTTGGAATAGTGAGAGGGGAGTGGATGAGAGCAGAGGAGAGGAGAGGAGAGGAGGATGGTTTGGAGGATGGCTTCAATAAGGATTATGATGGAAATTAGGGCCGGGTTGATAGTAATTTGAGAGTTTGAGATTGACATTGGATGGTAATTGAACTTGGGGAGTGTTGGGTTAGTGCCACTAGACTTTGACTCACTAACATGGAAGTGGACAATGGCCCCTTGGAAGACTAGTTTCTCCTACAAACCGGGACAGTATGTCCAAAACTCTTTAAGTTCAAGCTCCTTCCGTCCGTATGCTATAGCTCTCAAGGCAAGCGTTCCAATGATTGAGTAAGGAAACCTTCGTTTAAAGGTTGCTGGACATCAAGTAGGTGTCTGGCATTTGGCTTTGGAAGGCTGTGTGCCAATGAAAATTGCCAAGCTCGACGCTGACCGAGGTAATCTTATACATCTCCAGCAAGGACTGCCAAGCGATGCATAGGTGCTACATGGTGCTACTCATGGTACTCTCCAGGCTTCTACTGCCAGAATCTATTGACGGGGGATGAACAATCGATATTCAACATTGAACATGTTTTACAGCATGATGCTTAAGACATGCCAAACCCAAAGGTCTCAGAACCATCTGAAACACCAAGCGGCACGGTGCGCGAAACCCCGAATCACCAGGATCAGGAGACTCGAAATCTCAAGCTTTGCGTGCGGAGCACCTTGGCAGCCCAGTGGCCTCCACCCCTGGCTGGGCTGGAGCCCAGTGACCCTCGTGAATATTCTGAAAACGAAAACCGCCAGCAGAGGGTCATTGGAGGGATCACAAGAAGAACAGTAGAGCACACCTTGGCACTTGGAGAAAAATCCGGGATCATCTCAGACTCGGGACGTGGTGTAGCAAAAACAACATCAGGGAGGCAGAGGATCCACCACGACCTTTCTTTCTGATTTGTTACCGAGTTTCTATTGCCTGCCCAGAACCTCAGACTGAGGACGTTATTACTGTATAGTCAGTGAGTACACTGTAATGATGGACTTGTGTGCATTTGGTGCTGATACTTCACAACGAAGTTGGGACAACCATGCACACTTCATCCTAGTTAAAATCCAGGCTCTACAACAACTCGCAATGGGGATCCTCAATGCCGCTCCCACCAGATCAGCGAACGACTCACTGAACTTGTTCGGGCAGAGTGACTCACTGGGCCAGTGAAGCAACGCCCAAGATGGTTCTTCGATGTTCTTAGCTGCGTGGCGTACAGGTGGCACGTCATCGACTCCTCATTTGATTGACAGTGGCCACGTTGGGACATGGTCCTTTGGTGGTCGACATGATTGTCCCACACGAGCAATTGCTACACATTTGCAGCTCCTCGAATAGCATTCCGTTATTGCCAGTGGTTTGGGGCAACTATATACGATTATATAAACGTTACTATGCCAAGGCAGCCAAAAAGGTTTTCAACTTCAACTGTGTAGGCAAGAAGTTTGAAGAAGACTTCTTCAACGATCCGAAGAAAGCTGCCTGGGCAGAGTCGAGTCTTGGACTACCTGAGCCGACGGAGGCCAAACAGGTTAGGAGAATGAGCATGAGGTTTAGATCATTTTAGATCCTAAGGTGGCTCCTGCATTTGTCAATTGAAGGCTTATTTGGATCACTTAAACTTAAGCAGGCAACCCGTGTTGTGTGTATTGTAGCAGGTGGACGTCCTCATTGGAGGCTATTGTGGACACGGGCCACGGGCCACGGCTAGAAGACGGGAGACAGGTAGACGACTTGCATGTTCGACTCCCCCTTTGAGAGCTTCCATGTCGTTGGAAATGGCAACCATTTGTTGTGGGGAGGGCTCCTGAATTCTACAAACAGTGTGCAGGCCTTCAAGCAGACTTTTACAGAACTGATCGATTCCGACTGACTTTGGTAGATGGAAGTGTCCGCAAAGCCCCCTGTGAAGTCCCACCGGCCAATGACTGCAGGAAAGGCTACAAGGCGCTGCAAGACCCCAACTGTGTGGAATGGCCCGAGTTCTGGGAGCGGCTGAAGCCCTTCTGAGGCCGAGAGAAGTGGCTGCAAGCTGGATGTTTAAAGGCTTTAATGACTGTTGATCAATGAAGCCTCACGGTTGGTGGATCACTTTGAAGTGTTCTCACCCTGAAGTGTTCTCACCTTGCTTTGATGTGGTGCTTCCATAAATTGATGCCCTCACCTTCGGCTACTGTAACCACCCCCACATACAATCTATGTCAACACCGATTTCTCCGTATATATTGGTTTGCTCGGAAAGCAAATCGCAAGGCCGCTCCTGCTCTATGAGTTGTCGTGGCCAACTGCTGTGTGAAAAAAACAGGGCCGGGCGCGGAGAGAGCCCTGCACGAGCCTGTGAGGACTAAGGCTCCTAAGACTAGCAACTAGTGGACTGCCAATGCAACAGCCTTGAAGAAATATATAAGTTTGTTTCTGGAAGATTGAGCATGACACCCGAGCGCAAAGGGCAAGACTGCAAGACTAAGCTAATGTCCAAATGTTGCTAGACTCTTCTGGTTGTGGATGCTTCTTGCGGAGAGCACTTGGACACATGATTCAATCATGATTCAAGTGTCTTGACTCGAGTCTAAACTCGATAGGCGTGCCATGTTCCTGAAAGCCTTGACAAAACTTTGGACTCCCAGCCCTAGCGTGACCCATGCTCATCTGGGCTCAAGACCCTTCCAGGTGGGGTGTGGAAGGGCTCTGTGGGGTCTGTGCCCTGGGGTAGTTGGCAAGAATTGTCACGAAAACCCCGCATTCGCAACCTTTGAGGGAGGCAGACTACTGACTGTACATTAAACAAACGACCAATCCAATGATTCTAAACCAAGATGCTCACCCAAGCTTGCACCCCCAACATTGATCAAAACCTGGTTAAAACACCAAAACACTGCAAAGACCTCATCAAATCATAGCAGAAGCATGCATAAGCTCTAGTGGGTTCTTGTTACTCCGAACAGCTCGAAGAGCTGCTGCATTTTTCAGCCAAACTGATCGGCTCCAATGGCTGAGACCGATGGGTCGAAGCCTTTAGAGACGGAAGAGACGACAAGGGTCGGCGCCGGGCGGAGCTGAGACGGGCGGAGGCGGAGGCCTTCGTGGCATCTTCTCATTAAGGAACCAAGAAAGGATTCTCGTCTACTTAAAGGTCCACCGTGGTTAGTAAACACTTAGCACACATACTAATCATTTACAACACATACGAAAACACTTAGCACACTTAGCTATGTGCACTTAGAGCAGTTAGTAAGTGTCCTAAGTGTCTCCCCAAAAGGGTTCCAACCCTGTATGAGCCGCTCTTCCCTCCTGGGCACGGCAGCTGCTGGCGTCACCTGCGAGGGGGCCAGCGCATGTCAGAAATGATCCCATGCACACGTTGACTGCACGTCGTGTGGGCCTCATGAACGTGTTCATGCATGTCATGTGGGTCTCATGAACATGTTGATTGCATGTCATGTGAACCCCATGAACATGTTGACAGCTTGACGCAGAAACCTCATTTTCACCAGATCACGAGCGCTCCCCCTTCCTTCATGCTGTACATGCACGTGTCTGTGACACATGCAAGAGGCACAAGTTGGCAGTTGTCGACCACTCTGTACAGAGACTTCGCCACATGCTCCCACACGTCGAGGCACGCCATGCATGTGTCCTCAATCTGGCAGAGCCACTTGACAGAGCCAACGTGTTTGCGGTCGACCCTGGCCTCAAGGAAGACCACTACATCGCCAACTGCCACCTCAGAAGAGCCGCCCGTGATGCCCCTTCGTGAAGACTTGACATCAACATTTGCAGGAAGCTGAAGGGCCATCGAAATCATGTCAGAGATCTTTGATGATGCCGGCTGCGCTTCCAACAAACATGGCCACTCGCGTGGAATCGAAACCTCGTCATCCATCATCTCGAACTGTCTCAGAGTCGTGTCCTGCATGACACTCTTTTCAAATGACCGGGCAGGGTTGTTCACATGGTTCACTATGTGCTTCACCATGCGGTGCTTCCTCTCCTGGCAGAAGCATGCCAGGAGCATTTGATGTTTTCTCCACATGGACGGTAAATGCAAGCAGCTGTGAAACTTTGGCGTCCAGTATTCCAATCCATGACTGCTCTGGAAGGTAGACAAGTGAAGTTGTATCTCCCGGGCAAACTTTGAAATGCAGGACCTTGGTGAGATCCAAAGTACAGTGGAAAGGAAAATCATAGTATGTTATATAAGTTATATAATGAACCTTCACGACATGGCATGACATGGCATGTAAACTCATGAGTACTGCGCAAGTTCATTGTTCATGCGCAAAACATGGCATGAAAACTCATATATACACATCCCATGTCCATGAACAAAGACTTGGCATGAAACCTCACACATCGCATTTCCATATTTCCATGAAAGTCGATGAACAAGGATATGGCATGAAAACGCATGTGAGCACAGCTTGTCCATGAACAAAGACATTGCATGAACTGTCATGAGTGCATCGACTCTGTCCACAACCAAACCATCATGACATTGGTTGAAACTTGCACTTTGGTGAACGCCCGGTCTCAACAGATTGAAACTTGGTGACCACCCTGTCTCAACAGGTGTATATAATTGACGTCTAAACAACACTCAAAGACCTTTGCAATTCCCTGGACGAGACATCGGTGAACAGTGCGCAACCCTCACAAAAAACTTGGCGTTGAACACCTGACAACATTCATATTGCCCACGCCGCATGCCATGAGGAGAAACCAATGACATGTCACAATTGACATGACGCGGCATGACCATCCCATGACATGCATCGTATAACAGGACCTTCCCATGACGTCCATGAAGCAACATGCTATATACGACATGGCTCAAAACACCTTTCGACACTCCAGTCACATACATGTCCATGAGGATATGTGACATGATGTGATGTGACATGGCGTGTTGCAGCCCAGTGTCTGGTTTTTCCAACTCTGAAGGAGCGTGTCCGTGATGCTACACAGGTGCAGGAAGGACTGGCAACACCTTCTGAGTCCAGGGCTGCAGTCATCAAGAACAAAATGTAGAATATAGCACCGAAGGATCAACAGGAAGTTGATGGTCTCTGAAGCGCTTCCTTTCAAAGGATCTGTCTTGTTGGACCGCTTCTCCAGGCAAGCCTTAGGCCTGGCTCCCTGAAGTCGGCGCGGCATCACAAAGGCCTGAACAAACAAGGCTATGTCTTGAGCCTGGTGACCTCCCTTGTGGAGCTCTGCTATTGTGAGTCCAGCGTGAATGGAAGCAACCCCATGCACAAAATAAATATGGAACCAGTCGAACATCGTAGCGCTCAGCAGGTACTGGTGGCGCGGGATGCTCAACAGGCTTCGTTCATGCCAGTTGAAACCCAGGCTCTGCTCTAAAAGCTTGAAGCCTGCAGCCGTCTCAACCTCACAGCGTTCACGCAACAGTTCATGTGCGTCCCTGACGCTCTCAGTTGTGTGCTGACGGAACCTCGAGAACTCCAGGCATGTTGACGGTATGAGCCGGTCATCGTGATCCTGCAAAGCACTCTTGAAGTCAACACCATTCTGGCAGCAAGCGCAAAACACTGTCCCGGCGGCTCCCTTGACACCCAGGACAGACTTGCACGCCACCTCGTCTCCAATGTGCAGCGCCACTTGTCCAAAGAACATGACCCGCCAATCTTCATGCCGCAAGTAAATGCCACTCGAGGTGTCAAAAGGCATGCGAAATAGGTCCAGAAGATGAGGCATGAGCAAACTCATACCGCCAATCTTCTGAACAGTGCTCGACTTCACCGCGCAGAGGCAAAACCAGAATGCCTCTCGAGAAAGGGCCCAGGAGCCCAACTCAAGCACCTGGCAAGAATGACTGAAAGTTATGCGTGTCAAAACGCATTTACACCCCCGACCGACCACCCTTGGCAGGTGTACACCTTGGGAAGTGAGTGCACAGAACAAAAATGATGCAGAGAAAATGAATCAAGTCACTGAGAAGTAGCACACTTGGAGCTTACGTTCGTTGTTGTGCTTCAAGGCGTTACCTGGTGTAACCTCGTCTGAGTATACCGCGAACTGCCATTTGCGGTCTGGGCGAGGAGGGTGATCATTGCAGCATCGAACAAAGTGCTCACGAAACAGCTTGCAATGCGTGATAGCGCTCTGGATGATAGAGACAGGGTGGGAGACGAAAATGGTTGCGTTTCCACTGCCGTCACTGAGAGGCACCTCAAGAGCTTGAAGCACAGGGCCGTAGGAAGTCGAGTACTCTTCGATCTGCTTCTCACGAGCTCTCTTTATCGTACTCCGTGAATGAGCCTTTGGCAGCCCATGACGCTCGATGTCTTTGAGAACGCTCTCGAGGCCTCTGAGTGAGACAAATGAGCGCCTACCAAATTGGCTTAGGTTCATGGCTTTCCATGGCACCAAGTAAAGTATATATCAAGTGGAATCAAACGGACTAATTCCAATGTTTGCTGGAAATGCCATGTGATGTCACGTCATTCATTCCCTTCTGTCATGCACATGTGAGCTGATGTATGCACATGACTTTTGAAGACAGGACATGTTTCATGTGATGTCACGTCATTCATCCCCTTATGTCATGCACATGTGAGTTGATGTATGCACATATGTGAGCTGTGTCAAGTACAATTGAACGTGTTGGCTGCATGGGTTGATGTGGGTCCAGGGTACAACATGAGTCCATGGCATATGACAGTATGACATGTGTAAAGCAGCTTTGAACCATGGTCATTTACAGAAGCTTCCATTCCATGACCATGCATGTTCAGAAACACTTTTGTGAGTCGAATCCATGCGGCATGTTCGCGCAATCTTCCACGTGAACGTGCGGTGACATGGGCTTGTAATCATGGGCATGCATGACATGAATCATGGCATGGTCCTTGAAACAAATGAGAAATCCATGCGCGCAAGCAACATGCCCACGCGCAAGAGTCAGCAGGATTTATCAGTGTCAGCCAGATCAGATTCACCCCAGCGCTTGGAGCGCTTTGAATCTATACACGTCAGAGCTCAGGACATCGATACACTCTCAGTCTGGGAGCTCAGCCCTCCAGCTGCACACAAACAAGTTTTTTCAAACTCAACGAACTTGCACTATAGGCACTCTGCTGCCTTCATGAAGATCTAACGAAAGCACGAAGGACTGCAGCCTGGTGAGTTCCGGCACTTGGAACACCCGTTTGGCCTGAATCGAACTCGCTGTGCCTTCGAGAGCTTGGCCATCTTGGCCAAATCTGCTGACTTCTCAGGAGCAGTGACCTTCTCCTTCTTGGCCTTCTGGTCATTGCTCTTGGCCGGCAACTTCTTGGAGTTCTGAACTGACTTTTTAGACGTCTTCGTGGACTTTTTCATGGCCTTCATCGCGACCTTCTTCATGGCCTTCATCGCGACCTTCTTCATGGCCTTCATCGCGGACTTCTTCATGGGCGAAGCATCTGCAGCAGCAGGCCTCTTCCTTGGGCGACCTCTCGAACACTTTGTTGAATCATCTTCGCCACGGGCCTTGAATGCCTTCAGCATTGCATCGGCCTGCTCTTTGGCCGACAGTGGCTCAGTCTTGTCATTGTCATTCTCAGGCTCACTAGCAGCATCAGGACTGTGCACTTCTGGAAGGGCAGCCGTTACCTTGTCCGGCTTCTTCGAGGGAGATTCATCTTTGGTTGCAACCGTCTCTTTTGCCTTGGAGCCGAGGAACTTGAAGCCGGGCAAGTCCACAGGAGGTGGCTGACGTTGCTGCATCATGCCCTGCACAGCCAACCTTGGATACAATTTGAAGGACATGAAAGAACTGTGACTGTGAACATGTAAAAATATACATCTGGACGTGAAGAAGTACATGTTGTTGAACAAGCACTTTGAGATGCACAGTGGTATGATCGTGAGAACATGTATACTTTAGTTTGCCGGTGCGTCATGATAGTATGAAAACAACCATCAACATGAGCATGAGGTTACACCACATGATGAAGGCATGGCGTGAACATGGCATGACCGTGGCATGGCATGACAGTGG